TAACCAAATGCCAAGTGTAAAAAGAATGTGATCTATTATTTGAGCATGTGCATCTGCAAATGTTGTTGGCAGTTTTGCTACTATTTCCACGTGTTTACATTTGTGCCAGAAATTGCTTCCATTTCCTTCGATCTACTTTTAAAATAAAGGCCCAGGTTAGAATAGGTCTTCAGCAACCCAAGCTTGCCGTAAGAGGTGGCGAACAGGATTGGGTAGTCAGGCTCGCCGATTTGGTCGATGCATAACATCATATTCCAATTGCCTAGTTCGATGCTCTTGGTGTCAATCACTGAATGATCTGTTCCAGATTGGATTATTTACAGACCGCCGTCATATGGCTGAAATACCGCTGAGTGCGGCGTTAAACAAGAAACTATTTTTAAATAGACCTTCCCTATGCAAATGTATCAATTGTATTTCCCAATACTCAAAATAAATAATATTTCTTCCACAACAGCGTTGTGTTATTTGTGGTTAATATAATTGTGCTCCTTCATGCCTTTCAGTAACATCATAATTATGCGTTTGTGAGGCATCACATATGGCGGGGAACTTTGATGCTTTGCATCAATGTTTTCTTGTTTAATGTATACTGACATGGGAGCCTTCGACGTGTGTGTTATTCATACGAAGCTTTGAAAACGGAGGTATTTCCTCATGTTTGTGAGCGGACAGCCACTGTCATCGGGAAATTGGTAATGAAAGATATTATTTGTAATTCTTTTTAAAATAATGTTCCGACTACGTAAACAAATGAAAATAAAAAAGAAATGAAATCTTATATTTGCGGAAAATCGTTAAATTTTCGCTTCATTGGTCCTTAATCTGGACGTTATGAATATTTTAGCTTACCGGTACAAATATTTTTTATTTAAAACGAACTTTATTAAGTTGTTAATGAATTATGTATATGATGTAATACACATAACTTACATATTTATATACAATAGGATTAATGAGGCCTTTCAAATAGTGTATGGTCAAACATGTAGTAGCAAAGATGTTTTACCTTGATAAATGTTGGCTTCATATATCACAGTCTCTGGGAACTTTGTGTCACAGCGGTACTCTTCTGGTTGGCTGGTGTTGAAAGAGTTAAACGTTGCCCATGCTGCCAAAATAGCAGCGTCTTTCATGCATTTCCACCCATGACATGATTTGTTTGTTTGTTTTGCTTTTTGTTTTGCCACACTCAGCAATATTCAAGCTATATGAGGGCGGTCTGTAAAATAATCGAGTCTGGACCAGACAATCCAGTGATTGACATCATGAGCATCGATCCACGCAATTGGGATCCATGACCTGTATTCAAACCAAGTCAACGAGCCTGACCACACGATCCCGTTAGTCGCCTTTTACGACAAGTATAGTCGCCTTTTACGGCAAGAATGGGTTGCTGAAGATCGAGTCTACCCTGGAATCTTCACGGGTGCCCATGACATGAGTATTGTTATATTGCCAATGGCCCATCTGTGCACAAGCTATGTGCCAGGGATACGATAAAATGTTCTTGAAAAATTTAGTTATTTTACTTTTGTTACTCCAGGACATTTTTTTTCTAACTTTTTAGGACTTTAGGACAACATTCAAGTAAAAAAAATGAAAAAATGTGAGAGGCTTTTTTTTTCTTTTTTAAATTGGCCTGCCTCACTTTTGAAATGAGTTTGAAATCCGTATAAAACTAAGAAATAAAAAGTGTCGCCAAATACATCTTGGTAAATCCAAGCATAGCTTGAACTAACAACAGAATAAATGGGCCTAGATCGAGCTTGTATGAGATTCATCACTGTATATTTATTACTAGTTAATGCATAGGAACACATTGATTGGTCTAGATAGGAAGATGACATCTTGTCACTGTAATAAGAGGCAAGTTAAATTAGTTTAACTTAAGTTATGCTGTTGACATGAAAGTGATAGTAGTGTAACTTTAGGATACTAACATGAGGCCTATGACTGATCTATATTTAAGATACTAATCCTACTCCCAAAACACTGAGTATAAAATGACATAGATCTACTGGTTTGGTTGCAAAATCACCCGAAATTTTGGGTAAACAATTGTTTCGGGTACAACTATGACCACATGCCGTATAAACTACGAATAGTTGTTTATACCATGATGAAGAAAACTTGCAACTTGAGAAAAACGAAAATAAATTGTTTGGGTCTCAATGTCTAAATATGACCAAAATATATCATCCCGTGGTACTGGACTTACGAAGTGTAGCCTAATGATCGGCAATCACCTGACTGTGGCGCCAACGGTTCCTTCCCAATAGCTCCTTTTCTGGGTACACCACCTGTGGCTTGTTTGGTCAGGACTTCCAATAAGGAGAGAGTTGTCACAGGATCTGGGTCAGCCACATTCGTCGGGACATAACCTGGAGGTTTTGAGTTCATTATGGCTTCAACTTCTACATGTAAAAGAACACTCGCATAACAGGCTCAGCCACTGACTGATCTCTGAGGACAACACTAAGGTCATGTTGATTTCACGCTTCCAGCAGCCACCAAAGGTGCATAAGGTGGATTATTCATGGAGGGTATCTTCTGCTTGGTCAACTGCTGAGCGATCACAGGGCTCATTGAGGAAAATGCTTCAATCAGCCCAAGGTCACCACCCTTGAAATTGGTACCAAAATTAGGGCTTTCCTCTGTGGGCTATGAATCATCTCAAAGACATGAGGAAAGCATCACTGTCCATACACTCGAGCAGATCCAGGTGAACTGCACTGGTTGTGAGACACTTGAAGACTATTCCCCATCACTTTTCTCTTCTGCGGCCAATCATGACCCACACTGGTCCAAAACAACCCACACCAGTCGAGTAGAATTCGGGTTTGTACAGTCGAAGGCGTGATGGAAGGAGATCTGCCGTCTTGGGTATCCGAGGAGATGCATGTGATCCCTGACATGCTGTATAGTCTCTGATGGCGTCTGAAGTGCTTCCCGTCCCCTCAGTATCCAGAAATCTGGTCGAACTTCTGCAAAGAGGCATTCTGGTCCATAATAGTGCACGTTTTCATCAAAGTTCTTTGTTTTGTTATGGGATGTTTAGGATCGACGACTATAGGGTGTTTGACATTGTCTGGAAGTCCCTCAGGCTTCAGTCCACCACCATTTCTTACCAGGCCGTCTGGTGTGTCGTTTTCTGGATTGAGTTCTATAAGTCTGCTTGTAGGAGCTGTAGCTTTGCCTCCTCTTAATGACGCATTTTCATCTGGGAATCATTCCAGCTGAATTTGTTGAATAAATATTGTTTCTGCTTTCTCTACAAGTCCAACTTCATCAAATTGATCACTTGCGGCCGTTCATCTGCTATCTCAGCGACATCAGGTAGATAACATTATTCAATGAGTGGAGGATTTTAGAAGGAAGGGAGACCCCGTCCTCAAAGGGTAAACCTCCTGTGATATAATCAGCCTTCACATAACGCCAGCTGTCTACAGGAGTCAGTGATTGTGTCTCAGAGACCCGAGTCCCAACAAACACCTTGTACGAACAGGCCATGTCAGAACAGTTGTTGAGTCACTCCACAATATGGTATCTTGGATCGTCAAGCTCAATTCTTTGTAAAGTGTAGTGGTTAACTGTGCACCAGTAAGGACAGCAGAGTTCCAGTCAAGGCATTAAGAGTTGCTTCTTGCAGGCCACTCTACTTCTCGCAGCCACAAAACTGACAGCCATGTCACCATTACTATCTTCACCTCTCAAATAGGCAACTGAACCAAAGGCACGCTCAAAAGCGTCACAGAATATATGCAGTTGTCTCTGTGACTGATAAGGATCATGGTTTCTGGATCTTTAGCATCTTCGTAAATACGAGAGATATCACACAGTTCAGATTCCCACTTACTCCATTGATCATGAAGTTATCCAGTTTTTATCAAAGCATCCCCATTGACGTTTTCATCTCCATAGGTCCTGCACCAAGAACAGTGTCAAGTTAACTGATGAATCATGGTTTATCCCCCCCATCACATCTTCAAACACAATGGGAAGCATCGTTTGGTCTTGAATTGCTCTTACGAGTACAAGGGTCAAGACCTCAATAGTCACCTTCTGCCTGGTCAACCTCTTGGATCCTCCTTCCTAGGCATGTTCTTGAGATTTCAACAATACCCAGTTGGAATATCATGTGATATGACGGGTATGTTCCAACAGATCCGACTCCTACCTGAAGACAAACCCATCCTCAGATTCCTGTGGCGCAACATGAACAATAATGTGGATCCAGATGTCTATGAATGGCAGGTTCTGCCCTTCAGGACTACTTGTAGTCCATGTTGTGCGACCTTTGCCCTACTGAAGCGTGTGACTGACAACCAGCAGCAGAACCTTGAAGTTATGAAGTGTGTTGGTGAGGTGGAGAAACACAAGCTTTTGGGACCCATGAAGATCCGGGGTAGAGTAGGTCTTCAGCAACCCATGCTTGCCGTAAAAGGTGACTATGCTTATCGTACGAGGCGACTAACGGGATCGGGTGGTTGGTGTATGTCAGCATATCCCAATTGCGTGGATTGACGTTCATGATGTCAATTACTGTATTGTCTGGTCCAGACTCGATTATTTACCAGACTGCCGTCATACAGCTGGAATATTGCTGAGTGCAACAAACAAAACACAAGTTTCTGGTCAAGGATCTTGCGACATCCAAGTTGTATGGTACTCAACGCTGTGTTAATGCCAAATTGTATCAACTTTAACCAACGAGTTGTACGTGTGAACGCCCTTCAATTGAGGATAAAGTGAACATGTTGTTAGGTGACATTGAGGTAATTGAAATGATGACATATAAGCAAAGGTTTTTGAAACAAAATCCATTTTTTTATTTTTGTTACCGTACCGTTACTGCGTCAGTGGGTTACACATGTATTTGTTTGCTTGTGATCAAGTTGGTAGTGGTTTTCTTCAATTAAATTTCCTTGCTAAATCAATATAGTTCCACGCGCCCATCATCAAGTTTTAAATACATATAGTGTATGTCTTCTTTTTAGGATGTAGACGAGTGCCTGTCTTACATTGAAGCATCGAGTCTAGGTCAGCATGAAAAGCGTGTCCACCCAGACACCAGACGCAGGGTGTGCATCAACTGGTATGGAAAACCTGAGGACCCAGTTAGAGCTATTGCTTTCCGAGTTGCGGGAGGTTGGAGAGCTGACTGGAAGCCGTGGTGTCCGCCTTCACAGCCTCGGAAGAACCGCACACCGCTCTGGGGAGGCGCTGGACAACATGGGGGAGGCGATTGACGGTTTGGAACGGGAGATTGAGGTTTCACAAGAAGAGCGCTCAGATTTGGATGATATCTACACATCTCTACTAGGCAAACAGGGTAGGATACGTTACCCGTATAGAAACTATTATTATTTCTGGTACAGTGAGGTATGATACAAATGTCACAGATGGTACTCGTCATAAACACATTAATGACAAGTCAATTCTTCTGAAACCAACAACACGGGGACATATTGTACAAGAGTAGTATTAAAACGTAGACAGTTCCCTCCACGGACGAAGCCCAATGAATACTTATGTGCCTAGTGTTATGCAAATAGGTATGCAAGACAAGACAATTTATTCAATATTCTAAGCGCACTACAATATATATTGTAAGACGGCGGTCTGTAAATTATCCAGTCTGGACCAGACAATCCATTGATTGACACAATGAGCATAGATCAACGCAGTTAGGATACGATGACATGCATCAACCAAGTCTTCGAGCCTGACAACTCGAACCCGTTAGTCGCCCCTTATGACAGGCATGGGCTGCTGAAGACTTATTCTACACCGGATTTTCATGGGTCCTGTAAATAAGTATAAACAGAGATCATATGTTTTTTGTGTATCTTGAGTGTTCAGAATATTTATATATTTACTGCACTGTCATTTCGGATGTATTTACTAATGTACTTTTTTTCTATTAGAGGTATATGCATCACATACAAGCAGGACATAAATATCGTCTTTTTGTACATTTTGTCATTTAGCCTACAGTGAGGCGTCATGCATAGCGTCACAAAGAGGTCAAATGGCCATGCAGGAAATAGCTCAGTCGCTGGAAGGAAGGGTCCATTGTTCCAATGCGTTAAAACACTTAGTCGTTCGACCCTTCATTAAACCAGAACAAGGGATAGCCATGAGTACTGTTGTGCTGTCAGGCAACAAACAAACACTTACTTTTTTAGGCAAATTGTGTGAGTAACAGGTGCTACCTGGTTTCATCACTGATATTTTCAGTGATCCTTTCATTTGGGGTGGTCGGGGAGCCTAGTGGTTAAAAGCGTTCGCTCGTCAAGCCGAAGACCCGGGTTCGATTGCCGACATGGGTACCATTGTGTGATGGCCGTGATATTACTGAAATATTGCTAAACGCGGCGTAAAACCATACTCACTCACTCGATCTCAGTTTTGTTTTTACGCGATGTAAGCAGCCTTGGCGCGTGATTTGACTTCCGTTTTCAATGTAAACACTTTGCCCTCTGCACACGTGTGTAAACGCAACGGAACAAGACGCGACGGTTAATGTGGATGGTGGCAAGAGGAGGCCGAATTGGACCAAGGGGGAGAGGGAGCTACTTGTTGAAGAAGTATATATATATGCAACACGATGGCTGTTTTGGAAAATTCAAGGGGTGTGGAATGGGCACACAAAGAACAAGGAGCAGGCGTCGGGAGGAGATTACCGAGGTCCTAAATGCGTAAGTTAATGCACTCATTATTCAAACATAGAATGTAGTATCTAAGTATATGTTGGAAATCGAATTACCTTGCTGGGTACACTGAGGCTTTGACAACAAGAAGCATAGCATGTATGCACGTAGTCCTGCACCATGACTGAAATATATTTATTTTATAAAAAAAACAAAAAACAATCTAAATATGTACAAAAGCAAGTCTAGCTAGATCTAGCTCTGTTCCACAACATCGGGAAAATTATTTGTTTAATTTTAGAGTCGAGAAGGGTATTGAGTAATGCAAGATTTCATTGACTAATGTTAGTCTAGTCTACACGCATCCCAGCCGAGACTATCGGACCCCGTCGTTGCTACACGTATTCTAGCCCTCATTAAAAAAATATTAATTCTGCCAAAAACTCACCCATTTTCTAAATTCTTGACTTGCCTTTGTGGATGATGTTGTTGAAAACGAATGATGTAATTTTACAGTAACCTTTTTAGTAAAAGTACATATCAGTGAGAATTTCCAAAATTTCCAAAATATTTCATAAATGTGTGAATGACATATCATAATATTTTAGCATAACTGTAGATCTGAAAATTGTTCACTGAAATGAAGCAAATTGTATTCCAGAATATCCAGTTATGTGCGAAGATCTGCAGAAAAAGCAGGAAGCAATATATGCGACTTGAAACAGAGATGTATGTATAAATATCAAATGACACTTTGTTTATTGTATTTCGTATTCAACTTGCTGATAATTTTATATTATTTGGATAGTTTCACAAAAAAAAATCATAATTTTCATAAATAAATATCCCCATCTTGCCTTGAATTATTCATGCACAACTCCTTAAAAGGGTTTATTGAAGATGAGAGTGTTAGGCAACAGTTATTATAATTTTTGTTTTAAGTGTGTTATTTGGCTCTGGACAAATATTGTCAATTCTTTTAAAATATGTTCTTAATAATTCATTTAAAATATGTTCTTAATGATTCTTAATAATTCTTTTAAAATATGTTCTTAATAATTCATAATAATTCTTTTAAAATATGTTCCAATATCACCTATTTTTTAGAAGAAATAGCGACATGTTACCTGATTTTTAGTGCCCCTTTTTGAATGTTCGGAAAAATATTGTTGATATCTGTGACTATCTGTGTTACAAGGGCCTACACAATGCATACAGAAGTAGAAAAGTCAGATACAATAAGGAGGCCTAAGGTCAGCTTGTGGAATTGACCCTGAAGGTAGATAAGTTCAGTGTTCCCATTTACCCGTAATTACCAGTTTTTTTACCGGTAAAATTAAGCTTGGACCGGTAATTCATGTAACTACCAGTCCCTGTGGACCGGCAATCAAATGGGACTTCTCACCATTTTATAGTATGTGAAACAAATAGTAGGCAAATAGGCAAATAAATATCCCTGAACAAACACGAGGAACTAATCTGAGACTGAGGCTATTGAAAATCTCAAATGACAAGCAGTCTCACTGAAAAAGCAATATTTTTTACATATGTAATGAACATGATAAAGTAACTAGCGTGACAATATTTACATGACTTAATCCAAGTAAGAGAAAACTAGACTGTGAGTGACTACATGTATCTCAATGACTTCTGTGTACATTGAGTACTAATAGGGGCTAGAGAAATATTTACTTTTCACCTTTTGCCCTAAATTTGTGTCACTCTAAGCCTTATTTCAACTCTACTTTTGCCAATTTCCTTCAAAGAACTCTTTAAGAGAAATGAAAACTGGTGTGATGATGAGAAGGTATTTTCCTCATCTTTGAGTTACATAACATTATAATATATGTAACCTTATCTTTGCAACTGAACTCATATGTTTGGTCTGGCCCTATTACTTTGGATAACATTGATAAGGCAGATAAACTAATTTGTATCAATGTTTTACTGTTAATAAATGTTGAACTTGAAATACTATTGTGGATTTACATATTATCCCCTGCTACAAAGTGGGAGGGGGACATAAGAATGTGCTGTGTACCTGTCATTCAGATGAAAAAGGCCAAACTATTGGAGGTATTCTTTCAATAAGTGTTGGCCATTTTAGTCTAGCAAATATATTCTTATCTTCAATTACTATAGATTCATCTATACTGATAAATTACAGTGGAGACAGTGGGTTTATACCACATCAACTGGACATTTAATAATGCACACATCTTCTTACACAAATCAAACATTTTGGTACACAATCACATATGTATATGTAGAGAGAGAATCTCACCCGAAGAATAGACTGACTGTCTTGCAAATGTCTTAGGGATATTTCATAAACTTGTTAATGAGATATAGAACAATTTATTCTAAAAAGCTGATGAAATCAGAAAATTTTCTAATGACACTTGTTTCTGTATTAAAATCAATGAAGATAACATTGTCCAATATTGATGATTATTGGTAAAGTATTACAGTCATAAATCCTAAAATAACTGTTAGCAAGCGTACAGTCGACAAAGTCATCTATATCCCCCGCCCATTTTAACATGTTATGGTCCCAAACCAGATAACTGACCCAACATCTCTCTCAGCCCATGTCAAAATAGCTGCAATGGAAATTCTAAAATAAACATTTCTAAAACTCCTTAATATCAAATGGCACCAGTTCAGTATATACTTTATATATAGACATGCAATGTTTGGCAAGGAAATATCTAACAGTTTATTTGTTATACTCCATAAGTGAACCCACCCTATATTAAAACTTCAATCCAACTTGTTACCATGGAAACGTAAAAAATAAAAATTTCTAAAAGTGTTAAATATCAAAAGGCACCTGTTCAGTATGTGCCTGGTCCACATGCAAAGTTTTGTAAGTATTTAATGGTTTTTGAGTTACGCTCCGGAAACGAACTCTACCCTATAGACATGATAGAACCTAAGTCCAACTTGTTGCCATGGAAACATAAAAAAATATAAAATTCCTAAATAGCAAAAGGCACCATTTCAGTATGTGCCTGGTAGACATGCAAAGTTTTGTTAGAAAGTATTTAACAGTTTTTGAGTTGTGCGCCAGAAATTAACACCACCCTCATAGAACCTAAGTCCAACTTGTTGCCACGGAAATATAAATAATAAAAAAATGTAAAATTCCTAAATGGCAAAAGGCACCAGTTTCATAGAGAAATATAACGGTTTCTGAGTTATGCTCTGGAAACGATTTCGGGACGTACGCACGCTCGCACACATGCACACACACACGCACGGATGGACGGAACCCATTTCAATAACAAAGTCAGTTACTGATTAAAATGTCACAAAGGGTTTTTTTCATAATCTGTATGCTCCGGTTGGATTGTCAGTAGGTTGGACTGAAATATACATCTAATATATGGGATGTGTTTATAAAATTGAATTGAACATAATACCTTTCTAATAATAATTTAATAATAATAAACCTTTTTAATAATCTGATACTTCTTTTTTACTTCCCCAATCGACCAATTTCCGGAAGAGCCTCTTCTGTAAGAATAGTCCAATAACGAAACATGACAAATTTATAATCATAAATATGGAGACTACTGAAGACATTGAGAAATTGATCAAAATAAATATTTGGTCTTTGAAAGGCAATTAGAAGTGATACACATAAGGAAGAGAATATATGGATTTCAACTTCTTT